TCTTCATATTTGACTAATATTAAAGTTCACTTTTCATTCAGGAAGTATGACGCTGCGCTGTCAGTACGCTTGTCCGTGTTTGAGATTGGTCGAATGCTCCAAATACCACCCCTTTCATGTGAACGCGCACCTAACTAGATAGGACACGGCTGGCTTGAGCGATCCACTTGATAACCCGCGTCGTAGGACCGCTTAGCGAGAGCGCGTATGTTTTGGATTGGGCCAACCGGCTAACTCAAACATATCCAGAGGCCTGTACTACGAAGCTGGTTCAACTTAACCTGGATATGTTTGAGTTAGCCGGTTGGCCCAATCCAAAACATACGCGCTGGCGCTAAGCTGTACTACGACGCGGGTTATCAAGTGGATCGCTCAAGCCAGCCGTGTCCTATCTAGTTAGGTGCGCGTTCACATGAAAGGGGTGGTATTTGGAGCATTCGACCAATCTCAAACACGGACAAGCGTACTGACAGCGCAGCGTCATACTTCCTGAATGAAAAGTGAACTTTAATATTAGTCAAATATGAAGAAGTTAAACTTTAAACATCCATGACTTAAACACTTTATCCAGGATCAAAGCCACATAGCTGCACCTGCAAGGTGAATACAGCTGGTAAAAGAAAAAGTGTTTGAATGCGTACATTAACAGGTTTATGAAATCACTGCCCCGTCCAAGACACGAGTGGATCTGACTTTAATTAGGAGAATTTGACTCGAGTGTTTCGTCAACTTAATGTGTTGCTTAAAATAATACTTCTGCATACAGTATGTGACACTGTGAGTGTTGCACGGCCAGATACGGCTCAAGAAGCTGACTCAAATAAGGAAATATATGATACATTATGATGTGATATGATATGAATGATAATGGGACACATCACCGTCTGCACTCACAGTGCCGCAGTCTGTACTTAATGTTACTCTGATCCGGTTACTTATGTCGTGGCAGATATTTAAGTAAGCTTTCTTAACGCTAATATTATAATAGTCAGATTGCTCTGAAGATGGGAGGGGATATTCTATTAATTTTCACGTTCACACAGTCAGTTGATTTTTGCCGACCGTCTTTCCTGCAACGGCAGTTTTTCTGTATTTCCTCTATCCTGTAATATGAATTGATCGCTTTAAACTCCGCACACGGAGCTCTGATTGGTCAGCAGGCGGTGCTTTCACTGAGTTGATCTCTTAGCCTGCAACCTAACCTGCTCCGGAGCAGGTTTGTCGCTCAGCATAAGTTACCATGGAAATCTAGCCCGCTAAAAAGAGAACCAGCGTCGTAGGACCGGAAAGCCAGAGATTTCCTTGAATTTAGCCGGCTAAGCGAAAATCCAGCTTCGTAGTACAGGCCTCAGGTTATGTTGAACCGGCTTCGTAGTACAGGCCTCTGAAAAGGAGATGACAGAAAAAGGGTAGCAGTAAAAGTCCTTTGTGTTTGTATTCCTTCCTTCCTGCAGCAGTCAGACTGTATAACCATCATGAAGAAAGGAAGACCCCCACACATATAACAACAACAAAGACTATACTATAACACCCCTTGTGCTTTTATTCTATGTTTTTATTGTGTTTTTCACAATGTATTGTGTTTTTAGCACTTCTTATCTTAACATGTGGCTTGAGTGGTCATTTAATCTTTTATGATTCGTATGATATTTTAATGCTTTGTCAAGCACTTTGTGACTATGTCTGGGAAAAGCGCTTTATAAATAAATGTTACTTACTTAGTTACTTACTCAGAACTGTTGCAGGATGTGTATTTTGTGAATTGTTTTGTAATTTATTCATTTGTATTTTTAATATTTTTTTATGCATGCTTCTTGGTCAATATTATAATAATAATAATACTTTTATTTCACAGAAATAGAATTCACAAAGTGCTTCACAAGAAAGAACAAAAGTTCAAATGAAGACCACAGAAACATGAATACAATAACCACATGAGGCAGAAATGTAAGGTTAACATAAAAACAAAACACAGACCACGTGGAGGCCCGAAAGGAACAAACATAAGAACAGAACACATCACACACATTTCAAGTAGAGACAAAAGCCAATGTACAAAGATAGGTCTTATAATATTTAGCCGTCTTTGGCTCTTTTCTTGATGTAACAAATGCACATTTCCCCTCTGTTGGACGAATAAAGGTATTCTGATATTGAATAAGGACGGTGTCGTCATCCCCACCTTGTTGAAGCGGGCGAAGGGGTAGTCCTTGCCCTCCTCTGCCACACGTCTCCAGTGGTTGAAGATGGCCCCGTCCCTGCGAGCTGGGTTGCTGAAGGGCATCCACTTCCAGGGACGAACCTTCTTACAGCCCAGCTTGGCTTTCACGGTCCTGTAGCCCTGCGTGGTGTCGCTGGGCAGCAAAGGGGGGGCATCTCTGGAGATTATAAGGAAGAAAGTCTTTGTTAGAGCAAGGGTATTTTCAGTGAAGTTGGAAAGGTACCGAGGCTTAATTCCAAGGGTAAGAACCAGCTGTATTTCTTAAGGAAAGCAGAAATCAACTTATTTCGAAGGAACAAAAGCCTCCTGATCCCTGACTGTAAATATTACAAAATATCATGGTTTGTGAAAGACACAGGGCAAGAGGGCTATGAAGCGAGTTTTAAAACTGCCCATAGGATATTAAAAGGACAATACCCATCCCAGAAACAGCCTGTTTACCCTGCTGATGTCTACCAAGTGGTAAAGTATCCGCTGCCTTACCACCAGACTGCAGAGAAGTGTTTATTGGTAATGGAAGATTCATTCAAATATTTTTAAAGGGGGTGTATTTGTATTTTATTGAGCAAACCTTTGTTGTAGAATGATATTAAATAAGGATATTCCGCTCATACAGATAAGTGACAATAAATATAAAAACAAAACACATTTGCAGTGTGCAAGGTCAGAGAGCTGTTAAAAAGCCAGGGGTTAATAGTATAAGTCTTCAGCCTTGAAAACTCCTTTGGTGGGGCATTGTATAAAACAAAGTGGAAGCACCCTTATAGTGAGGCCTTAACATGAGGCCTTAACATGAACCCTTACACTGTTTTTGAGTGGGTGAACACATACTGGGTTGTCATTCATTTCTGGTTTACACACAAGGAAATTAAGGAAACAATTGCTGTTTTCTTCTATCCTCAAATGATGTAGGATGAACAATTATTACCCAAGGTAGAGAGAAAGATTATCATGCAACATAGTAACTTTTTAAGCCATTAATGACACACACTTCAACCAATTCAGTGCATTGGTTTTAGACAAAATCAAAAGAAACCCATACTTTTTGTCTGAATAGAGCAGAGCGTAGACCTCTCGATGCATCCCCTCTGGTCTCTTGAAGGTCAGCGTTTCTGTTGACTTCTTGCTTTTTTTCTGAGACAAGTGATGGAGAAAATGTTTATTTACCTTGAAGAAAACTTTGGTTACAGAATAACAACATGCACTTCGAAATGTAGTGCTATGGGAATGGCATGGTTGTATTTTAAAATTCCCACAGCCTGTACAACTCGTAGAATATTGAGTAAAATAACATAAGACAGTCAGGAATCATGATGGTTATCTTCTCTCACCTTGTCTGAGTTGATGATATCTTTCTTGCTGATGGGACCGTCATTGTCTCCTCCAGCCAACTCCAGGATATCCCGGACATCAGCCCCGGCCATGGCTTAATATCTTGTTAATAAACGCTTCTCACAAGCTGTCAAACGTTATCACTTTTCATTCATTCACATGTGTTCATACAGTATCGGTACTGTCCAAACGAATCCGCTCCTAGCTAAATGCTAACGCTAATGTTGTCATTTCTAAACAAAGCTACACCGAGCCGCAAACAGGCCATCAACGAATTCATAATATGTGTTGTATAACCTTGAACGCTTCTACTATCGGTGAAAGGTACAGAGAGAATAATGACTAGAATATAACGATATTAAAAAGCTATTGTTAATGCTAGGTGAGTAGCTAGCGAAATAAACCGACACAACTTCCGTCCCCGCTAATTTCGCTGTGTGTGTATTCATGCTCTGTAAGTGAGTATCGCCCCCTTGAGGTCTGGTAGTGAACTGCATCTAATTATTTTTTCCATAGCGTCCGTGTTTTTTCTCATTTTATTTCAAATAAATCACAAAAAACTGACATGTACCTGTTTGTTGGACCTATAACATATTTCTGATTAACAAGTTAAATCATGGACATGTTTTGTAAAAGCTTCAGTCAATGTTTTTGTCATTGCTATGCTAACTAAGACATTTTTCAACACATTTACATGGGTGACAATTTTTCCAGATGTACCGTCCATCTGTATAGCAGAAGACAAAAGATGTCCCTCTCCTGGGTGTTGAACCTTGAGCACCTGCATGAAAAGTCAATGGATAAACCTCTGGACCACCAATGTGTTTTTTAAACAATGAACGCCCAGGTATAGCTCTTGTTGTGATTTTATTTTATTGAATTTGTACCTTTATGCACACAACGAGCACACAGGTATGGAGGACAGAACATGACATAAGTACAAACTACGAAGGAATACGGACTTATTGTTTAAAAAAGGACAACTGCCTTTCAAAATACAGTCTTCAAGAACGGGTTCATGAAACCGGAAGTAAGTGGAAGGGAATCCTCTTGCTCTGCTCGCAGCTCAATATCCACCTGCTGTTTCTGATGAATATCGCCTGTTCCTGTGAATCACGCTTGCATTTATGAAGACATTAAGATACAAGCGAATGTAAAGGTAACTACACGCCATTTAAGGCAGAACTATTCAAACACTTTCTCCACAAACTGCGTGAAATTCAGCTAATAGGGTAAAAACAACCTTGGGTTTTTAAGGCATCACCCACAAAACATGAGGACAATTATGATTTGACTCTAAATAAGGATGCAGATGTCAGATATAGACATTAACCTTTATGAATACCATGATTTAAACTACTACTAGGGTCAAAATTATATATAAAGAGGCTTGTTATGTGTGCAGCCAGCAGCATACTTTGCAGGGATATGATTGGTTGGTTGAAAGTGAAGTAAGGGACTGAATATTTAACATGTGGGGAGAGGGGGAGTTGGGGTAAACGGAAAGCAATGGATGGAGAGAGAGAGAGATGCTGTTGCTGGGGAACAGAAGCCACATAGAGGACCACTGAAAAAAAAATCAGCAACAGAGATTTGTGCACGTTATTCCTGCAAAGAAGAGATATTTAGGAGTGGGAAAAGAAGGGGGTATTTGCAGAGAAAAGAGGAAGATAGAGATGCCAGAGCAGAGGCATTTTATTTAAAGGAATTTTGTGTGTCGGTACACAGCCAGTCTTTTCCCCATCAACGGTGGCCAGTGGCTGGTTGAAGGGGGGGTTTGGGGTGCAGCATCACAGAGGTGCCCCCTGTCTGCAGACACCTGCTGCTGGAGAGCGTCTGACAGCGAGGACACTGTGTCTGTGTGCATGAGCGTGCACGTGTGCATGTGAATGAGTGAGAGACAGGAGGAATTTCAGCCTGAATCTTCGCATCTGGGACCGAAGAGAGGGGAGAACACACTGACCAGAGAGAGGTTTCTAACACCGCTCATGTGAGTATATCATCCAGGCATCTTTATTCTTCATAATGCACATTAGAATGACTGCATGCATGCATTAAGACATCACATATCTTCAGGGTGTTTCCCCTTTCATAGGCTGTTACATTTGGGATGACCCAGAAAGACTGTGCTGCCATTTTTACTCAGGGAAATGGCACTGGGTTGCACATCATGAGGCAATGCATTTTGTATGAATATGTTTTTTCAGCACATAACTCATGCAGGATCAATCAATGTCAATCATATATGTAAAGGGTCACATTGTGAGGTGAAAGCTCAATTTCTCCTTGTAGCATTTTGTAGAAATCTTAGAGCATAAAATGTATTCTTCTGCCACAAATTATACGTTACAGGTTTAATTAATTAATACTATGCAAATGTCCCTGTCGTGGGATTGATTAAGGATTATCTATAGTAGGTTGTCACATGAAAATAAGAGCAATGTCACAAAAACCCAGAAGCAACTACTACAAAATAAGATCTGGTACAAATTGTTGTTCACATGGTGGCAAAATAATAATAACAAGGGTCTTCCAACATTGATTTCTTTCAGCAAAACACTTGTTTGTATTTTAATGAAATGTATTTAACAGATCTTCAAGTGAAGGTCAATTTCTCCATACAGCATTTTGTAGAAATCTTAAAGCACAATAGGTGTTTTTCTGCCACTAGGGGGCTCTCAATCAAAACAAAAATATAAGAAGGAGTTTAGTTGTGTGTTGAAACTATTGTTAATAGTTTCGATGGATTTTTTCTGGAAGCCAAATTACCCAAACATGTTCTGTTCTCAAAAACAAACAAGCTGGTTTTAAAATCATTAAAAAACACAGAATAAAATAGATTAATGTTTAAAATCAGCGTTTGTACTTTGCTGCCGCTTACTTAAAGGTAGGGTAGGTAATTCACTTCAGAAACACTTTTTGTTATATTCCATGGAATGCTCTTAACATCCCGATAGCAATGAATATCTTAAATGCTTTGACAATAAATACATAAAAACATGTCATCTGTGGAAGCCGTAGTACTGTAAAAAGCACGACCAATCATCTGAGCCGGCCCGGCTAAAATAACTGGATGGCCTACCTGCCTGTCAGCCTTCCATCTCGTGCACAAACTTATCTCGTGCCCTCATTGGTCATGTGCGCGTTCGTGTGTGTTGGAGGAGGGGCTCTGTAAGGAAGTCTGAAGGAAGGGGCAGATTTTTTTCGGCTGTGTACTTTCAAATTCTAGCGCACTCGAGCTGGTTTCTCCATTCTTACCTACCCTACCTTTTAAGATCAAGTTTCCGATTAATGATTGGTCAACCGCTTAGAGATGTCCCGCCCCTTAGCCTATCACGTACCATGTGTTGGAGGAACAGCCAATTGAAGTGTGAGTGTTTCATAGTGATGTCATTATGTTTCAGAAGTAAACAAAGGAGTCCAATGGAGGCGTTTCAGGAGAGAAACTCCCTCTGGAGCGAACACAGGGATTTTAGCCTTGGTAATAATAATAATAATAATACATTTGATTTATATAGCGCTTTTCCTGGTGCTCAAACAACAAAAGTAGGTGGAATAAGGGCGAGGGGTGAGTGGATTGAGTTGAAGGCAAGAGTGAAAAGGTGAGTTTTCAGGGATTGTTTGAATGATGTGAGATCTGTGTAGACCACTTACATGCACACAAACCTATATGACACACTACAGGATTTCAAATGTAGGACTTTTTCATATTTTTTGGTCTCCCCTCAATATGTGAATTCTCTTCAAACTCTAGAGCACACATGAAAGAATGTCAGATCTGAAGAGAAGTTTTTCTGTGAGAGATCAAACCGGCAGCAGGATTACGAGGGAGGAGGAGGGGGGGGGGGGATTAGGGGTGCATGTCGTCCCTCTCTTCCCCCCCCTGGATAAATCTTTTCATGATATCTGACTTTGAGGAGAGCTCGGTAGGGGGGGGGGGGGGTCTGTCCGAGTCACATGCCGCTCACATGCACTCCTCTGGGCAGGGGGATCAAAACCATGTGACCGAAGAGCAATTATAATGAAACTTTGATAACAAAAAAAGCAACAATGGCAACTTCTAATCCGACACGTGTTCCTGCAGACATGACGGGATAGTTAGTGCACTTATTTATCAGACAGTGCTCCTCTTTTCTTTGAACTGTAAATGGGTTTCATTAATGAGCTTTACCCCCCCCCCCCCCCCACCCCCCTCCAGGCTCTCCTCTCTGAGGGATGGGCACCACAGAGGCGACTCTACGAATGGAGAACTTGGAGGTGAAGGACGAGTGGCAGGATGAAGACTTCCCCAGGTCAGATTCTTTCATTTAAACCGATAAACATCAGTTTTATTGATGTCACGTGCAGTTGTTTGTTGTTTGTTGCTGGTGTTAAGGCATCTCGTAGATCTGTGTGTGTGCCTTTAGCCATGTGGCATCTTCTTGTGCATGTGTTTGTTGATTAATATGCAGCACATGTTTTATTATGTATGAAAAGATCATTATTTAGAGTTAATTGTAGATTAGTCACCAGGGTTTCTTTATGTAGCCTCTGGGCCAAATGCACCCTGCTGTTTAGTCTGCATGGGTGGATTTAGACTGAGGCAGGGATGTTGGTGTTAATATGTCGTTTGGAACCTTAAATTAACATTTTATATGTTGTAAATCATAATTTCTTTAGTGTATTAGTTTTATGAAGGTTAGTGTGATAAAATGGGCAACGTTTGAGCCCAGTGGGGGACATGTTAAAACAAAAAAAGAGAAACAGAGAAAGAAAGATACTTGCCAAATTCAACATTTAAAAAAAAAACTAAATTAAGAAATTATTAAGAAACTCTAAAAGAAAACAAGATAAGATATACAAATATGAATAATAATAATGCAATCATCATAATGAGTTAGATTAGGAAGGCAAACTGTTTAGTTTTTTTGGTCTCAGGATTGAAATCTTCTGTTATCTTATAACGAGGTTCAATCTTATTCCATTTGTGATAAAGACACATCTTTCTATGTCCACAATGTGCTATATTGTTAACAGACATTTGCTTTGTTGTGTCTTTACTGTCATGCAATATGTTAAAGGGATGCATGACAGTTCATTTTATATTTCCTAGTAAATAAAAAAACAATTTTTTTTTATAATTTGAAGGTTTATTTCAGGTTAAAATATAGATTAGGGTTTTCTCGATTTCTTTCGAACAAGTGCATAAATATTGGACTCAGCGTTATAATCAGCACGTCAAGGAGCTGGCTACAGAAGGATTTAGGAAGTGTGGGAATTTGATTCTCCACACGTCAGAGCTTGATGGGCAGAAAGAGAGCAGGGGAGAAGTGTTATGACCAGGGTTCTTACGGTCATTCAAAACCTGGAAAAGTCATGGAAATTCAAAATGCTAATTCCAGGCCCTGGAAAAGTCATGGAAATGTAACTACAGTTGCATCAAATGTAATTTATATTTTATCTAATCGCCGAAATAGTAATACTATAATGATAATAAATACTGTATCGCATAGTAATTGTGGGGGAAACTTCTGTGTAGCAATGCATTGGGAGTCACCGACTCAGGAAGGAGACACGGTGAGAGTTGGAGCTTTTGATGTCAAACACTGATTTATTCAGAGTATCGGCCGGAGGATTCACATCACAAATCAAAGAGTCAGAGGTTCCGACTTCACGGTAGAGTTGCCACGTCAATTCTGAAGAGCCTCTCTCTATGCTAGACCTTTTAACTGGTTCACAGAGAGAAATCAACATCTCTGAAGGAGTAGACTAAACAGCTGGGAACACTGAACCACCTGCGTCCGACACTCATGGCCTCAAGGACTTCACATCTTAGAGTCCACAAACACCGATAAAGAAGTGCCTCAGCGTTCCCACAACAATTACCCTTCGTGCCAGACAAGTTGACCGGTCACAAACTGGTGACAACAACACATATGGCACCAAGGCCTTTCCTTAAAGGAGATAACAGACGTCAGAGTAGATCATAAAACGTCACAGAGCAAAAGGTTAGATATCTAGAAGAATTATTCCTTAACAGTAATGAAACATAAAATGTCATTTAACTGACGAGGTATTTTGCTGGTGAGAGATTTTAGTTGCGTTAGCGTGTAGAAGCTAGTAAGCCTATTTGATTTGTTTTAAATAGGCACAACATGTTTCATATGCAGACCTTATTTTCCTGTTCCATGTTAAAATAAACCATTTTCAGTGGTACGCTGAGAAAGAGTCATTTTTTTGGTCATGGAAAATTAGGTAAAGGTCATGGAGAAGTCATTGAAAATCATTGGTGAAAAAGTGTATAAACCCTGTATGACACTCCCCCCTCCTCTTCGTCATCCTCCTCCTCCTCTTCATCCCCCCCTCCGATGGGGAGTCAGGAAGCAGGCAGCAGGTGCAGTTTGGTCACATGATGCACCAGCAGTCAGATCAACAACACAGCATCGCCAGGAAAATGGTGGCAGGTTTTGTTTAAAGACGGAGGAACAAAAGGATTATTAATAAAGCAGCCTCTGAGGGATGCTCAGCTGCACACCATCAGCTGAGAGGGAATGAGTTAGCAAACCAGATTTAAAGGTGTGTGAGGTTTTATACAAAGCTCTCTGAAAAACAGAAGCCTCGTGCTATTTCCAGAAGGTAAGCATCATCGATTGTTGGAGGCACAAAAGAGATTATCTCGCTTTTGTTTAAAGGAAGAAATCCCCATACATCTGTTTATTGGTGTGACGAAGGAGGCGTTAGGATAGTAATCACTGCAGGGGTCCTCGGGGGGGGATAGAGAGAAAGCATCCACCATCAGTGTCTGTTTCTCTGGGACGAAGCCAGAGGTTTTGTCTCAGGAGGAGAGCACAGAGCGACGCAGATAAGACCCTTTTCTGCAGAAAGACTGCGCTGGTAATCCTAAACTAACCTGGCTCTGGTTCCCTGTTTGCTCTGGGTTTGTTGCTTTTATGCAAAATATACTTCTGTCCTCGTGTGCTTTGTTTAATGCAAACATATGCAGAGCAGGAGTTTGACTCTTGTGAGGAGGGAATAACAAGCAGGAAGAAGAGCTGCAGAGACACGTCTTACCTTTCTCTAAAGTAAATGTATTAGCATCAAAGGTACTAGTATTTAAAGGTCACCTATCATGCTATTTGTAGGCAATAGCATAGGTCTCAGATATATACAAATATATAAAAAACATGTCTATGAAGTGTTTTGCTCAAAATACCAAACAGATCACCCATTCTAGCCATGCCTCATATCCCTCTATTTCACTTCCTGTTTCAAAAGTGCTGATTTGGGGTATAAAGCAAAAACAAAATGATAACAAATAAAAAAAAGGGGCTGAGCTCATGCGGGACCCGGCAGCTACTGTCTAAACTAAATACTGCGGTGATGAAACGCCATATCATGGATTATCAAGGATTATTTCTGAAACAGTATGGAGCTCAAAGGCTTTCTCTCTTGCCGGTTATACCACAAGGTGAGTTCCTTTTTATTTCCTGCTTCTTCACACACATGCTCTCCAGTACAGGTTAGCTCTGAGTGTTAGCGATGCTAATGTAAACACCGACCATATTACATCCAAAACAGTCGGGCATTGTTTCTGATAGAAACTTTCTGATAGTGCCGTGGGTCCACATTTCAGATATTACGTCATATCGGACGCAAATCTGGATCAGCTCCGTTGAAGCCCCGTTTTTAGAGATTTGGGTACGGAGGAAAAGAGAGAGGGTTTTATTTTCTGATGCTGCGTGAGTTCCCTGACACACCGGGGACACATATTTATAAAATACATCAAAAAGTGCATTTTGCATGATAGGTCCCCTTTAAACTACGAATCAACCATTGTTCAATGAGTATTAGAGTACTCATTGAACAATGGTTGAATAAAGAATAATATATTATCTTTACTGGTTTATTTTGTCCAAATTGTTCAAAAACAACCCTTTATTCATAAATAAAACAAAATAAACGAGCATGCCATAACAAATCAAGTTTTAAATTCACTTTTTTTAATAGAGGAAAAAAGCAAGAAATATATAGACATACAATTAAATAAATAAAATATATTTAAAAAAAAGTACCAGTGTGAAATAGATTAAAAGTTAAAGAAATAGTAAAATAATGAACATTAAAAATACATTTATTTTAAAAATAAAATAATGAGAATTAAAAATCATTTAAATAATAAGAAATAATACAATGAATAATTATGATAAGCGGAGGTCAACTCTATAATAATAACGGATTTATTGGTAGATTAAATCTGATTGCAAGGCAGGTTCAATCAGGCAATTACAGAGTATATCATCATAATACATAATACCCCAAAAATATATGTAAAAACAAAAAGACTTATAAATCTTATTCGTCCTCTTCCTCACGCCTCACCTGGCAGCCCTGTAATCTTCATCTCTCCCCAGAGACACGTTAATTATCAACTCCTCCTCGTCTTGCTCATCCAGATCAGAACCCCCCCCCCACACCTTCACTGGTCCATTAACATCAACTTAATCACAAGGTTACATTTTGTTGTGGTAGATAGTAAAGCTGTGTTTCCAATCGAGACGTTACTGGTTATTTTGGTCGTTTTCAGTGGATTATAAGGTGACTTTTAGCCGATGGTTGCACGTGTTTCCATAGGTCAAAAGAGCTGGCTAAATAAGGGAAACTGACGCATGAAAAAGCATCATGACATTGAACAAAGGTGACAGACATCTCTGCAAACCCCACAACCAGGGCCTTTTTTGGGGTTAAATGTCCTCAAAATGTTGCTATACCATTGGGAAATGTCTGCAGTTTAAAAGAGGCTTTAGTGATTGATGCATCCTGTAAAACAAAGATCAGAAAATGGGATATAAATCGTGTCAAAGCTGGTTTTAAGAGTCATGGTTGTCCTGCTAAACCTCGGCTGTCAGCAGCATCTTGACTTTGCTCTATATTTTTGTATTTTACTCAAAAAGCTATACTTTGCATTAAATGTTATCCTCAAAGGCTCAGTATTGGTTGCTCACCTGCTGTGTGTGTTTTCCCTGCAGACCCCTCCCAGAGTACGGAGACATGGACCCGTCCTGCGGTCTCACAGACGACAGAAACTGTGAGTAGAACACTGAGGAGAGGAGGGTCAGTAAGAGGAAGACATTATAACCCTGATTTATGAGCAGTGGAGATGAACTGTCAATAACTTGAGCTGTGGCTCAGGGGAGGGTGTGCTGGACTTCGTATCAGGGGATAGCAAGTTTGAGTCCCACTGCAGTCAGCATGTCGTTGTGTCCCTGAGACACTTCACCCCAAATTGCTCCTGTGGGGATTGTCCACAGTACTGAATGTATGTAAGTCGCTTTGGATAAAAGCGTCTAACAAGTGACATGTAATGTAATAAGATACCCAAGGGAGAAACTTGGTATACGCTACTTAGAAAGCTCAAAATATAAAATAAAAAGAGATTTTGAAAAAGACACCAGCCAGCAAAAAATGCCACTCAATTGAAAAAGCCCACTTGTTGACAGGTCATACGTAAACAACATTTAATTAAATACCCAAATCATCTGAAAATGATTTAGCTTGAATGCTGCCAAACAATTGGCTTGTCCTCTTACTTGAACAGTTTTGTAAAATATATGAAATATTATAAGTTGTTTATCTTTTATTATTAAAATCATGGTAAAATAGGAGTTACATTTTTTTTTAATTATGTATACTGCCAGGTAGCAGGTACATTTCCCCAATACATACATACAAATATCTTAACCTATCAAATACAGGATATTTTATTAATCTTTATTGTAACTACATTTGTTAAATAAATGTAAAAAAAAAACATACATTTAAAGTGAAAATACAATGTAAAAATACCTCAAAATGGTATTTACAGAAAGTGCATAACATGAGTTAGTTCACCTAGAGCACATGTGTCAAACTCAAGGCCCGGGGGCCAAATCAGGCCCTTGGTGGGTTTAATTTCGGCCTGCAGGATAATTTCTTATTACTATTAGATCTGGCCCGCCGGTATATTGCACGCACACCTTCACTCCATCCTGAGGGTTTCCTCAGCTCAGAGCCTGACCCCAAACATTGATGAACTTGCACCCAAGATGAGATGCCAAGTATCTGGCTTGAACTAGCATCACAGAGCAGCACACTGAGTTTACATGTTTCCTTCTGCACTTTTTCTCTCACGACAGCAGGGCATGTTTGGTTTGTTCTTTGAGGGAAATAGTTTTGTGGAAGCTGTTGTTGGCCTGTGGAGAAATGTAATCATAAGAAATGACTCTGGAAAAGCTGCAGATAGAGCCATAAGAAATGAATGCAACTGATTATTTAATGTTTAATGTTGTTTTTATAGGCAATCATTTAAGCTTTGTTAGTTCCAGGTTTAATATGTGCAATAAGTTCATTTCAATAAGTTCTGCAATAAACATTGAACCAGTCCGGCCCTCGACTAGTACCCATTTTTTTTATTTTGGCCCACTGTATATTTGAGTTTGACCCCCCTGATCTAGATTCTGTCAATCAATGCTACTAGTTTAAACATTAAATTAAAGTTTATATATATAGCATTTGTCATGCTATATATATCAAGTGCTTCACAAACCAAACACATAGAACATTTTCAAATAAAAACAATACTATCTCCCCCATTCCAGGTCATAATCAGAAAAGCACAAAGCTTTGTGGTTAAACAGAACAGTTTCTTGTGATAACTCACATTTCGTCTTCTGGTCTCCCTGCAGCTCTCTCCCTGGATGTTTCTCCCCCTGGAGGAGGAGGAGGAGGAGGAGGAGGAGGAGGAGGAGGCGTTTCTTCGTCCCGTAAACGGCGGACGCTGATTGCCCCGGAGATGAATCTGTCTCTGGACCGCAGCGAAGGCTCTCTGCTGTCGGAAGACTTCCTGGACACGCCGGACGACCTGGACATCAACGTGGACGACATGGACACGCCGGACGAGACGGACTCTCTGGAGTTCATCACCAACGGCAACGAGCTGGAGTGGGAGGGTAAGGGGTTAACAAACAACAACAAAACAAAACATGCATGACTTTGAACCCCCTTCATCATCCCTTTATTGAAGCATGACACGGACCTATAGGAACTAGTTTAAAAATGATATGTGTTCACTTTAGTCTGGATCTTAAACTTCAAATACAAAAGGTTCATTATTCAGATTCAGAATTTAAAAAATAAGAACAAAACATGCATGTTACCCCTTGAACTCTGACTTTTAGTTAATTATTTTTAGGATCTTATTTGAATGCAGTAGACTGATTGTTTATTCAGAACCAGAACCAGAATTGGGTTTACTGCCAAGATGTACAAAAAGAAATACAAGAAAATGGAAGAGCTGTGCAGCTAATTCTGAATTAAACGTATTTATTATAGAGTTTGTATTGTGTTAAATGAGTCTGTGCACTGAAGCCTGCAGAATCAGAACATTATTTCACGCAGCTGAACTTTGAAATAGATTTATTTTCTGATCACACTTCTTTGATGAAAATCCCAATTAGACAAAAACATTAAGAAGGAACAAAATAAAGAATTTGGTATCCATGCTCTGGTTGGAAGTTGAATACAAAATAGTCACACTGCAATGAAATGGAAGACAATGCATTAAAAAAATGTAAGCTTTTTTCCCCATTTCTTCAGAAATTATTACTTAAAGGGGACCTATCATGCAAAATGCACTTTTGTACGTCTTTTATACATGAATATGTGTCCCCGGTGTTCCAGGGAACTCACCAAGTGTCAGAAAACACAACCCTCTCTATTTTCCTCCATACCCAAATCTCTAAAAAAGGGGCTGCAACGGATCTGATAAAAACTGATCCAGATTTGAACACTGTCCTGACGTCAGGACGGTGGCGCTACGGCTATTGGGCCAACTCCACCAATCAGGAGGAGACAGCCACGGCCATTGCCGTTCGAAAGCGCTGGAGACGCTGTAGTACATATGCCAGGCCTGTAGATGGTGCTGTTCTCAAAGAATCAGCCCTTTGCAAAAACAGAGCTAACATTTTTCAAATTGAGTGAAATGAGGCATGGCTAAAATGCATGATCTGTTTGGTATTTTGGTAAAAAAAAGTATAAATATGCCTTATATAGGTATGGTCCTACACTATATTATTCTAATATAGCATGATAGGTCCATTTTAAATGTGTGATTTTGCTTTCTGAGGGTATGTCCATAAACTCCCAAAATATGTGATGTTTGTTATTTTTAATCGTACTTTTTTTATTTTTTGCTCCTTTGGTTTTTTAAACTTTCTTTCCTCTCACTGTGTTTCTGGATTCAGCTTTGTACACCATTCTGAATTCCTTCTACGTGTACTATGAGCGGATAAAAGAGATGCATCTTCATGGTATTCTGTTGTGTTTCCCTCCAGACGACGCCCCAGTGGCCTCGGCTAAAGCGGCCCCCGCCTCCGGCCCCCTGCAGGCGGACGAGGGGAACAGCGGGAGACTGTGGAGGACCGTGGTCATCGGGGAGCAGGAGCACCGCATCGACATGCAGATCATCAGACCCTACCTCAGGGTCATCTCTCATGGAGGTCAGTCAGCCCCTACCTCAGGGTCATCTCTCACGGAGGTCAGTCAGCCCCTACCTCAGGGTCATCTCTCATGGAGGTCAGTCAGCCCCTACCTCAGGGTCATCTCTCATGGAGGTCAGTCAGCCCCTACCTCAGGGTCATCTCTCATGGAGGTCAGTCAGACCCTACCTCAGGGTCATCTCTCATGGAGGTCAGTCAGCCCCTACCTCAGGGTCATCTCCATGTCAGACCCTACCTCAGGGTCATCTCTCATGGAGGTCAGTCAGCCAGAGGTTAACGGGAAGAGGCTTGACTGTTGTAAATAATTAAAGTTATTTTACTTACTTAAGCTTCTATATACTTCTACTCCGCTTCAATTCAGAGGCAAATATGTTTTTTATACTCTTAAGATCAGACTGGATATAATTAATTAATCCCACATTTTTGGGGGAACATTTTTCGTCACAGCAGCAGAAAGGCATGACACATTAGTTAAAAAAATAAACATGAATTAACATAAAGAATAAATACATATCAACAGTAGAGAAAAATGCATGTTTGCATATTTTCATCCCTTTTTTGTGCTTTTTTATGTCTTGTGCTACCTTAAAATGTTCCCAATATGAGATAAATAAAGGTATTATCTTATTATTATTATCTGAATATAATTGAATCCTATCTATTGTATCTGATTTTATATCAAGCCATGTCCAGAGAAGCATTATCCCATGTTTCCTCTGAACCTCTCTCCTCAGGTTATTACGGGGAGGGTCTGAACGCCATCATCGTTTTCTCCGCCTGTTACCTGCCGGACAGCAGCTGCTCCGACTATCACTACATCATGGAGAACCTCTTCCTGTGAGTCAAACTTAATATTAAAATACAGGTTTTAATAATAATCATACAGGGTTTAGTTGAAGTACAACCAGGCATCTCAAAAAATCAGAAATAGGATCCAGGGTTAGTTTCATTTTTAAGTTAACACAGGGTCAGCAAATAAATAATAAAAGCACTGGTTGCAATAAAAGCATTATTCATATAAAATGAAAATGAAAATTAGATGTAAGACAATTGTCTTGTTGGTGGTTATGGATAAAAGATGGTCGGAAATGTATGAATACAATTATTATTTTACGTAAAACCGAAATATGTAAAGCGTAATCAAGACCTAATCGGAATTAAACTCCAACATAGGCATGAAAATATTAAATATATAACTATACACATAAGCTGTGTGCAAAAACAATGCTAGCATAAGAAAGAGTATGGCACTAATGTAATGCAAAAAAAAGTGGGATAAATAAGAATAAAGCACTATATACAAATATTATAAGGAGGTGTGTGTGTCAAATATTGCTGTTTTTGAGGTGCCTTTTGCCTCATAATCCCTCCATGATGCCGTACACTTTCATATTACTGTTTTTGGGTTAATGCAGTGTTTTCCTGTTTGCACAGA